AAGACAAATGGGTATTCACACCATTCTAACAGTCCCTTGCAACCTTGCATTGATAATATCTCCACTGAAATAAATCACATAAATAGAGAAATATTCGCAACGTTATGGCTGTAAAGGATGTTTACCCTGACCGAATGTACAGCCATTACTCATCGAATAACCTACTTGGTCAAAAACTCATATAACAAAATATTGATATAATTTTTTACTTTTCCATTTACATGCGATACAAATAATAGAACAGTCAATGAGAGAGAGACTAGAAAATAGATGAATTCGTTAATGAGTGACGGACGGAACACGACTCTTACGGTTTAGTGAGCTTGACGCTGCGGCAAAATCATTACTCCAACCTTCGTTTCCTACCAACCACCGGCCTACGGCTTATTTTGATGGAAAGTCTATATGAGGCTATTACTACCCCTACCCATACAATATATAGAATGATTTGCATCATGTAACTCCCGCCAACCCAAAGTCCCAAACAATTTTTTTTGGTGGGGAATCCAAACAAAACTTAGGCTTTCACTCTTTATTATTTTCTAGCAATATTTGGTAATCATCAAAGTGCTTACATCATATTAAAGTATCAAATTTAAATAATTCATCATTATCATCATCATCTAAGCTTTGTCCCAATTATATGGGTTGGTTACATTAATCCTATTTCATTATTAAATTATGTGTAATTATTTTGCTGAAATAATTTTCCCTAAATCAGTTATTAGGGTCCATTTGCTTCATAATCAGAATTGGAATTGAAATCCTCTGGAATTGAAATGATGATCCATTCCCATAGTTTTTTTGGTTCAAACAGGAATGGGGATGTGAATTAAAATCAACAGGAATGGGATTTCATTCCCAAGGGAGGGGTAGGGAATGACCATTCCAACAGGAATGGGAATAAATAAAATTTCGATTCCACCCAACTAAACAGTTGGAATTGGAATGTGCGATTCTAGACCCCTATTCCCACAAACCAAATGGGGCCTTATTTCTTATTACTTTCATCCATGGTGTAACCCTAACTCTTCCAACCCTTTCAAGTTGTGATCACTTTTTCTAAGAAATGTTGTAGATGATTTTTTATACATGAACAATTCATCTAATTCTACTTTCTCTCATTTTATCATCTATATATCATTACAATTTAAAAAATGAAATAATGTCTATTGCACATTAATTTAAGACAACAGTTGAAGTGGGAATAAAACAACATGCATTCCTCTAAATTACTCTATTTTCATGTGATGGGGTTCCACTAAACTTTATTTTATTTTGTTTGCACACAGGTAGACACTATTCATTCATCAAATGGAATCAGTATTTCATGTGCAGAAAATCCATGTCACGACATCCCCATATAATGACAGAAGGATTCCTTCTGAATTTTTTAAACATCTCATTCAAACAATGAAACTACATGCAACAGGTTTATGAGTTCGGCTTTCGTCAGGGCAAAACCTGTTCTGGCAGCCTTTATAACCTTGTATTGAGAAAATCTCTTACTTATATACTTTATTTCATGGGGATATTTCCAATATAAGATTGCAAAAGACAGTTGAAACGGTATGGGCACGGGCTTGCCCTAACGGGAATCCATGTATCCATGTTTATACCTTTCATCCTTCCTTACAATGCTCCAAATTCCCCCCCCTCTCTCTCTCCTTTGTTAGTACTTACTAGTAGGTACCATGTGTTGCGACTGTGAATTGTGTAAAGAAAAGAGTTGCTTTTTATCAAATGGCTTGTTTGGTAAAGAAAAGAAACTCAAAAAAAGACATTGTTCCAAAAGGCAATGTCCTCAGTCCTCTCATCCAACTACCAGAAGTACAAAATCCCAACCGGGAGGTTTCGAGTCCGTGAGTTTAACTCCAACAATTATCAAATAAGATGGGTGATCGGATTGGCTGCCCACAGAGCGTGCCCCGCAGTCCATCCCCTCGGAACATCTCCCATGCTTGTTATAGAGAGATATTCCCAATGCATGGATGGGATGGGCACTCCGTGGGCAGCTGATCCTGTCCCATAAGATGGACCCTTAGGCTATGTTTGGTTAGAAGGAAAAGGTAAAAAAAAGAAAGAAAATCAATACAAGGTTTATAAAGGTTTTCCTACCTTTCTTTTCCTTTTCGTACATTTTCCTTCCAACCAAACATAACCTTAGTAATTCAGTATGCAAATTGAATAATAATAAATTGGAATTAATGTGGGTGGAGTGTTCTGGAAGAGGTTATTTCTGCCTCAACTTCAGTCTATTATTTTATTTAGACCACGTGCTGTAGCTCTGTAGGAATTCAAGGAACTCTTCATGCCAGCGCAGCAAAAAAAGAGATAAAACCCCTCGTTATATTAGGTTTGAGAGATGTTTGCATAAAAGGCAAGTCCAAAAGCCTTGCCAGAGCTTTATACACTACCCCCCCTCCAACCCCCCCAAAAAAATGTCTGCTCTTATATATAAAACTCTCAATTGTAAGGGCCACAGTGCCACACTATGGGTCTAGATCCCACTAGATTTTTAAGGTCCATTTGAGTCACAGTTAGAATCAAAATTGGAATGGTCTATTCCCATAATCTGTTTGGTTTAAATTAGATTTAGAATCAAAATTTGAAAACAGTTGAAATGGAATCTCACTCCCAAAGGACGGGGTCCAGGGGGAGAGAATGGCCATTCCCTCAAATGGGGGAATGCCATTCCAGTGTTCCACCAGAAATAAGAATGGGATTCCAATTCCACCCAACCATATGGTTGGAATCAAAATGGGCCATGCCTATTCCATTCCAGACCCCAATACCCTCAAACCAAGCAGATCCTTAGTTTCCATCTTCCACTTCAATAGCATTAGCATTTTGCCAGTTTGCCTTTCAAAAAATTCTCTATTCCTACTTTTTTTCTCTCCCACCCCCAAACATACAATCTTATACCAGAGATATCATTTTTATTATTTTATTACTCATGCTTGTGCGTTACCTGTTCCAATGGATGGATTCTCCTGTTAATACGTATATTACAGCAAAGAGGAGGGCTTCTTCAAACACATGGCACATGGTTAGGCCCCTAGTCAGGAAAAAAAATTTCTAAAAAACGTATGTACTAAGTTAGTACACTCTAACTTTGAAATTATATTGTTTCATGAAAAAACACTAGAATATCCATCAATAATAAATCAAAACATCTCAATGCACATGGGTTCATTCTTCTAGACAGGGTAAATTAATTGAAATTAAAACCTAATTTAATATTCTAAATTAAATAAGAAAACCCAGCTTGAATGTTTCAAGATTTAACATACAGGGCCTTACACAGTATCTCCAAATTAGTATTTTTTTTTTATTCATCAATAATCGAATTGAGTTTGGATAACGTGGTAATTGATCAAATTCAGATAAGAATTCCATACTGTTTAGTTTATTGAATTAAATTCAAATAAAGACCGATAAGATAAGATTAGATATAATTAATATCCGAACCAATTGAAGCTTTAATATACACATATGATATGACCGAAAATACCTTTGATTTCTCTCTAATAAAGTTAAATTATTATGGGTTATTTTTCTATCTTATAAATGGTAATAAACCAATTCGATCTGATTTGGTTTCTGGTATTTAAATTAATTGATCGAATTTGAATCAAATTCAATATTCAAATATTCAAGTCAAATTTAAATTTGGCCAACTGAAGGGTGGCTCAATTGAGCCTCCAGACCAATCATCTATTTTATATTTTTTATGGGTGACCAATCACGTATTCAGCTACACTATTACTGGTTGAAATTATAAAATGAAAATAATTGCCTAATATTTTTATTGGCGACACATCTTAAGTGACATTATTTTTTAGTGGAAAAGGTAAATGAAGTTGTGAACTCCTTAATGGCTCAAACAGAACTTGGGTTTACTACTTTATCATTTAATTAATGGATTCGCCTATGATACCAGAAAAACTTATCATTCAACCGAGGAGGGAGGGGGGGGGGKGTTGATTGGTCAAAGCGCTTTCAATAGCATGCCTTTCTCACTTTCCCGCAGCATAGAATTTACCTTGAACATTTTATCAACTGAAGGACAAAATAGCAAGTCATTCACTCAAGTATCTTCACCCATTATCAAACTGCCCCTAAAGACTCATCACCAATTAAATTTGGCTAGACGAATAGAAATTCACTGATTGGTGAACACAAGGATGCCGAGTGCCACTTAGAATGTCAGTCAATTAGCAAGGTGTATGATTTTATTAGTAAAAAAAAACAGACATCAGCAAAAACCAAGAGGGTTTGGCTGTTGTGGCAGTTGCTTTTGTTTTGAAAAATGAGATCATGCTCATCAGTGCAAACACCTACTTAGCAAGAAGAGAAAGAATGTGTATTCACATTTCACCCAAGAAAACCGCAATTCACAATACTTGATTTTTTTACCTTCACATTGATGATTTTTCAAAACTCGTTCCTGCATCATTGAGCGAGTGAATCGGACACAATGCCCGTGCATAGGTCTAGGACTATATTTCCAAGCTTAAAAGTTGGGCAAGCTAAAATGCAACCCCCTACAATACTGCGCAAAAGGACCTAGAAGGCTAGAACCAATGCAGCAGGCCGTATCCACATAAGGCCTTCCCTAATAATGAGATTCTGCACATGACCTTCGTATTGATGATTTCTTTATATATAATAATAATACCTACCAAGGAAGAAGAGCTTCATGAGGACAAACGACCAGACCAGAAGGCACACTCCCATCAACCCATCAGGCGTATAGCAATTAGCATTGCTTGAACCAGATTACCAAGCAGCGGACCTCGAACATATCAATCTTATTCCAGAGTTGCACATAAAGGATCATTTATGTGAATCATATGAAACAAATCAGGGCAACTCTTTGCAAGCACAATATTCATGAACGGCGTTGCAGACACACCAAGAAAAAAGATGTAATTGATGGTCAAGTGGCTTGTTATCGAAATTGGAAGATCAAAATCCACTTTGACATAGAATTTGGAGACGAGAACAACAATGCCATCCATAAATAATATACCGAGTCAAATCTGCGAAAACAAGCCAAGAAATCAAATCGTACAGACAACTCATGTGAATGGGAAAGCATGTTAAGATGGCAAGAAATGGGGTTCACGAAAGCGGTCTCTAAGACAATTGAATTAGTGCTTGAAAGGTCAAAGCATAATCCCTTAAAGAATCATCTTGATCATCTTAGACAGAACTGTTGGGTAGTGAGACGTGACAGCTGCGCAAAGATTTTATCACGGCAACCAAGCTCTGGACCGGCCATCAAAAGGAAGCAGAAGAACCAAGGGCTAGGAGGATCTGGATTTCGAGGTCCTAGTTGCATCACCTTTGATGATTTCTATCAGGCCCCGCTGGTGTAACCTTCTTCAAAAAAGAAAAACCTAAAATAAAAGGAAAAGCAGAAAAGGAAACACCAGAGATTTGTACTGTGTCCAACAAAATAACCAAAAGTTTGTTGTTGCAGGCCAATACCGCAATAGATAGCCAATAAAGGAATGTCCCCTTTGCCCCGAGACCTCAGAAAATTCATCTTCCACCAGAATAAATTTATCCAGCTGTGGATGAAAAAAAAATCCAAAAGGAATGCATCCATCATATATCATTTAGTTGGACTCTGAAGTATAACATGCAATGAAAAACCCAACCATGAGCAGTTAGGATCATCTAATGGCTGTGATATTCTGATCTTCATGTGGCACCAGGCCACCAGCCACATCAAAATGTCCCGAATATACCCAAACATGCCACCTTGACAAATATAACTCGCAGACTCACATTCATGAAAATGAGGGTAGAATTAACCAGACTAGAACGTAAGATGAACCCCAATCTGCACCAATCAGCCAGTCAAGTTACCTCACAACTAGCTGAACATGTCAGCCTCAAAACAAAACAACAAAAGGTTTTCTATACCCCACAAAAGTCAGTCACTGGAAAAACAAAGATAGGAAGTTTAGCCTCTACATGACAATACCTAAATATACCTTGTGTTATTGCCAAAGATTAATTAGGTGGCTTGAATTCCCTTCTGTTCTCTATAACAGCCCTCTTTCTTGTGTCAAAGTCAACCTTGTCCAGATCTGATGCTGTTCCTAAGTACCCATAAAAGATCCTTTTCTTCTCCCCTGTCTTCTCATCCACCTTCACCAGGTTTGGATTATTTTCATCGTCCTTGCCTGATTTTGAGGACTGAGCACGGGCCCAACCCTCACGCCCATGGCCTTCCTTCTCAAAGAATTCTGCTAGGCGTGTGGCCTCCTTAAGGCCTGATTGGTCGGCAGCAAATTTCACCACTGTAATGCCCAGATGACCATCCTTACCATACAAAGACTTGGATTTTCCACCACCAAAGCCAAGATCTAATAACAAAAAGAACAAAGCAGAACCAAGGACTTATTAGAAAAGATAAAAATATCTTAGGTAGTGTGCACAGCATGAACACCAGCAACAGGTAAGCATCATGAACAAGGGTTGTGCCATCTCCACTCTGAAGTATGGTTACAATTATTCTTGAGAATAGTATGGTTCCAGTTCTCATGAGATTGATTTAAATTGCCATAGAAGTACCAATCAACAAAATCACAAACCACTAAAAATACATTGAATGGAGACAACAAATCCTGGAACTTCCAAATGGCCTAAAATCACCCAGCAAACCAGTTACCAGAAGGCAACTGATGACGGTTGTCAGACAAGGTAAGTGGCCAAAGTTTACAAAGTGTTTCTGCTTTTCTATAGGGAAAGAAAGAAATATGTAAATACAACTAACCAAGACTGAAGGAACCAATCTTAGAACAAAAAATGACATGATATCCAGCTTGACACACTCAGGAACCAACTCCCACCATAATTCCCATGGAATAAAAGCTCTTCAAAAAGTCTCTTCTTTTCAGGAGGATAAGAAACAGAAGCCGGGGGGGGGGGGGCATCCACTGACAGGACATAACAGGAAGATACTTTGCATATTTAGCCATAGTACAGGTAATTCAGAACCTGTTTGATCTTGGGTACAAAAAGAAATCAAACATTACAAGACAAATTACCCTAGTTCACAGCTACATGACAGCTAGCATCCACTTCACTCCTTTTCCCAGAAAGATTTGCCAAGCATAGAAAATTTACAAAATTGGTCATCTTTGCATTTATAAAATTAAAAGGTTTAGAATATTTGATCAATCAGATGGAGAAACATAACTCCCACATGAAAGATTCAAATCCAGAACATAACGAAACAAAACATAGTATGAAATGAATAAATGTTTCTGAGGTCAGATTAGACTCCATCAGAAAAGGGATTGCCATCATCTAGTAGAAAAGAGATAGTAATGCATAAACCTATTGCAATCAATTGGCAAGTATAACAAGTTACGAGAGCTGATTTTCCTCGCACTTGATCTTGGGGAGCCATGTCTTCGGTGTCTCTTTATACTGATTACAGATTAAACTATTCCTATCTGACATGATGCCCATTGTGAAATGCTATGCTATTGTCTGACGAGACCAAAGACGGAAAAATCAAAACCAATGTTTTAAAACGCGGGGGCATGACGTGAGGCGTTCCACTGCCTAGAGGCATGAGGCGAAGCCCCCCAGCCGAAGGGGCAGGGGGCAAACCACTTTCTTTCCCCTTATCTTTTCTCCCCTTCCCTTTCTTTTCCTTTCCTTTTTTTTTCTTTTTTTTTTGTCTTTTTATATAAGATGTGCATGAGGCATACGCCTCTAGCACACCTCATAAAAAAAGCACATGAAGCGTATGCCTCTTGCACCTGAGGCGTACGCCTCAGAGGTGTCAGCGCCTTCGGCATACACCTCAGGGCATTTTGGGAGCACCCCCTCCAGGCATACGCCTCCCACGCCTTTTAAAACACTGATCAAAACGAAGGGTACATGGGACTAATGCTGTTACCTTGTGCCAATTCCCAATTGGTCACATTCATAGAGAGGGTTACAATTAACAAAAATCTCACATAGAATTAGATCTGGACACCTGATCCAAAAATGTTTCTTAGAAGATATGATCACCAAGATTTAATGATCAGCATCCGAAGCAAATTACAGAGGATAACAAAATAGGCTATTTTTATGGTGCAAATATCAAGTACTTTTAAGAAAATGTGCATAGAATATCTGCTGGCAGCAAAAAATGGAAGCACCATGAATAACCACCCCCCTAGAAATAGCCCAACTATGTTACAAGAGAAAGAACTCAACTTGACACAACTCCGCTTCAATTCAAACCATCCAAAACAATCATACGTTGCTGTCAAATTGTAAGCCTTTAAATAAATTCTCACTACTACAGATCATGTTTTCATTACCCTATTGAAAACAACCACCTATTTGTTTCTTCTGGCGAGATAAAGTAAGAAACTAAGAATCCAGGATTCTACCTTATGGAAGGACAAAAGCAGGTGATATAATACTTTCATACACTTGAAGAAAGAGAAAATTATAAAGGATGAATCATGTTGATGAAGGGCCAGAAGGAGGAAAGAGGCCATCAAGCCATTGAAGCAATAGCAAATGAAGAGATGAGAGAGAAGGAGATGTTTGAGGTTCAAAGCAAGTAGATTGCCATCCTCAAGAAACTGAAATAGATCTTTGGCTTTAGTTGGTTATAGTTAAGTTAGTTTGCTGTGGTAGGTCCAGACTTAGTTGGATGGAGCCACGATGTTCCCTTTGTTTATGCTTGCAGGCTCATAGTTTTGTCATTAATTTGGGTCATTTTGGGTTTGGGGTTTGTTTTTAGGGGGTTTTAGGCATGCTGCCTTTATTTACTTCTAATACCACTGGACCACTTTGTATTTGTAGATGATGTTATTGCTGTCTTTATTGCTAAATGGCTACTTGTAAACTGACTTCAACTAGAAATAAGGAAATTTTACATCCTTTGATACCAAATGCATGTGTATCATGAGAGCATGGATGACAGAACAATGGCAGATGTAGAATGAAACAGCCATGGACTATGGAGCTCATAGAATGGGATTAGGTGTTGCATGAGCTCACAAAACGGGATGTTGCAGAGTGAGGGGGGGGGGGTATGCAACCGTGAGTATCAAAATAAGGAGGATTGCAGGAGAAATGACGTACACCTGCAGCTGCAAAATGGCCAGATAAATTAGCAGAGCATGGAAAGGTCCACCCTCTAGTGACCTCCCTCAAAGAAGAATGCCTATACCCCAAAAGAGAAGCTTGGATTCTGGGGCCTCCCCATATTTTTGTATTGGCATATTCTTGGGCTGAGTGTAAAGGCCCACCCTCTAGTAATGTCCCCAAAGATGATTGCTTTGCCTATGCCCCAAAATAGAAGGCATCTATCCATTCATATAAGAAATAACTTGCAAAAACTATATAGTCCTGCATCAAGAATACGTCAAAGACCAGGAAATATTTTTGCCTAGAGATGCACCCGAACAACAATTTTGCCTCCTGGCCATTTGATCAGTCATAACAATAGGAAATTGATAAGGATGTTCCCAATATGCCATAAAATTCAAAAGGGTAGATGATGTAGAAATTTCTTAATGACTCTTGTGAAACCCATGCATCACCATTATGACCAGAAACATTTCATCCAATAGAATGTTGACCAACCAAGAAATAATACATTCATGGAATAAATTTAGGCAGGATGAAGATATCAAGAAAGATTAAGTGAAAAACAGCAACACTAGGATAGGATAGAATCAGAAACAAGCAACTCTGGGTTTGGGTATATCGGGTTAACAACAAACGGAGACTCCAAAACATCAATATATGAGAATAGGAGAAAATTTATTTAAGACTAGCAATTTGGGAAAAGAATATTGACCTTGATGTGGTGGAACTGCAGCAAAGGATTTCCACAGGGTCACATAGGACAAGCATAACTCAATATCGACTAACATAGAAACCTAAATGACATAGAAAGGTACCCACTCAAATGAACATGATTAAGAAATTCATTCATACTAATTCAGAACCCAAAGATAATTATAGTGTAGTCAACCCAAGGGAAATGTCAATTGGTCAGTGCCAGTGATGACAATTAATTAACTCAATATCAACTAACATAGAAACCTAAATGACATAGAAAGGTACCCACTCAAATGAACACGATTAAGAAATTCATTCATACTAATTCAGAACCCAAAGATAATTATAGTGTAGTCAACCCAAGGGAAATGTCAATTGGTCAGTGCCAGTGATGACTAATTAATCAGGAAAAAAGTGGTGCTATATAGCATGTCAATCAAGTAGTGGGTAGGGGTCCTAAAATCCAGCTGTTCGACCAGTTAATACTTGATACTTTGACTACACTAAAAATCCACATTTAAAAATGCAGAGTAACATAAACAACGTTTTCATCTCTTAGAATCAAAGCTACCATTGAAGGATTATCATCTAGATTATGTTCCAAGATAAACTCATCCAGAAAAGGGCAACAATCTCTAGAAGATTTATAATTCGAGGGAAAAAATAGAAAATTTTCAATAAAACAAATGAATGGACTCCTAATATACAGCTAAGAAATTTTGGTGACCACTGCACTACCCCTTTTTTCAGAAGGAAAAATTGTAAAACCAAATAGAATCATACAGAATAAAGCATGTAAGAAAACATTATACCTCTAAGTTTAGTATCCATCAATTTGTTTCCCAAACCCTCCATGCGGCCATCTTTGCCCTTTCCAGAATTTGTGTTGTGAATGATGACCACTGGTGGCCACATAATCAAATCATCCCGACTTACAGCCGCTTCATCAGCAGATAATGATTGATATGCCTTTGAGTTTTCAGGAGGTTTCATGTAGTTCCATCCCATCAGGACACACAATGCCTTGTGTAAGCCAAGGTGATCATAACGCAAATCAGCATTTTGAGAGTTGTATGCATGCATCACAAGAGCATGCACATCTGGAAAATCTTTAGATACCCTGTAATTTTGAACATTGTGTGCATTGGATGATAGGAAGTTCAGATTTTGCACTAGAGTAACTAAAAGCAGCTCAAAGTATGTAGTTGGTGAATACAATAAAAACTTCAGTACTGAAAGCTAAGATGCTTGTGACATCCCATCAAGTAGGATTTAGGCATGTATATAACGCACTAATTTCTTAAGAATTCACTCTTGGCGTATTATTTATTTAACATTCAAAAGTGAGTTCAAAACCAGTCAGAACCCATAGGTGAATATGCAAAAAATGGAAATAGAACTCTCGCAGACCCTAGCTAGACATGAAAATCAAACTGCAAATCAGTGTACATGTATCATGTATCATTATATCAGCCAATATCTGGACCCACTTCAGGTTAATTAATCTCTAAAACACAAAGCTGTTTATGAAAGACACACTAATGAACATGCATCCAAAGGTGCCTTTACAAGTTCGCACATCCACCATATAGCTGTGAAAAATCTAAAAAGAAAATACTTGTGCTGGTATAGGACAGTACACTTCAGGTTAATTAATCTCTAAAACACAAAGCTGTTTATGAAAGACACACTAATGAACATGCATCCAAAGGTGCCTTTACAAGTTCGCACGTCCACCATATAGCTGTGAAAAATCTAAAAAGAAAATACTTGTGCTGGTATAAGACAGCACACTCATGAGACTACCTTGGCTAAGATTAAGATAGGAACTGAATATGGTAGTTACCCAGGCTTCACAAACTTAAGGACAACCACAGGGTATAATTTTAACCACATACCCATTATTTACAAGAACCTTTCTTTGCAAAAATAACACTATCAGCATGCACTCAAAGCAAATATAACTACGTAAGTAAACGACTAAGATGTGATTCTCAAAGATGAAGACCACCGGTACAAAATTTAGCACCTAATGACCATCATCCCCATGGAAAGTTTTTAAACAGGGAAAAGAAAAATCACCAAATTTATTAGATAGTAAACTCATGTCTTATCAAAAGGGAAAAAAAGATGATAAACCCATGAAACCTGGTAGCGAATAACTAATCCCTTTGCAAACCTAAAAAATATTGACATGCACATTCAATAATAATTTCCATGTACAAAGCCCAGAGGAAACAAATATGCAAAACAAAAGGTAAAAACCAAAAGTACAAGGGAGAGCAACTCCAATACTTAACAAATTACTCCAACATATCTTATATGTAAGAAGGCAAACATATGCATGAACAGGCATGCACACAAACAGCAACAAAAAGGGTTGGAAAGAAAAAGCAATTCCCACATATGAAGAAGGTGGATCATGGAAGTCATGTGTCCAAACACTTGTTCCCTGTCTATACAACCGTGCTCAGAACAATTAGGAAACCTATAAAACTAGTAACAATCTCAAAAGTGCCAAAGCACTGAGATATAGTTGCCTGTAAGATAAGTGAACAACTAGATCCAAAGGAAAAGTCTACTATCCAGTTGCACTCCATTGCCGACTACCAAGCATGGAAGAACAAATAGACATATTATCTGTTTAACCAAAATAATTGCTCTTAGCTAACCAAGCCAAAAACCTAGATGCTATCATTCAAGACAATCAGATACCTTTCACCTGAATAATAACTTAAATAATCAGCAAAGCTTGATGCACATCATTGAAATTCCAAAGATAGAATCAAGTATCAAACAGAAGAACAGACACCACAACCCCTGTTTCAAACAAATATAGGAGATTTGTATATAAATTAGCACATCTAACAACCAAAAAAGAATCGCAGATAAGGAGCCTAGCAATGATATATGAAAATAACTTCAAAGGAAAAGAAACAGCTGAGCCTACTTGATAAAATGATTAATCAGTGGCATGGCCAGCATGAACTGAAAAAATTCAAAGTTTTAATGCAATTAGAGAATGGAATACCAGTCAAAGACATAGAGTACATTTGCGCATGAATCCTGCATGAGGGAAATAACAATTAATCAAAGAGGAAGACTGATGTGTCGTGCAGACTAAAGGCAGTCATGAACTGGAAGGCTCGTGAGCTGCTGATCTGCAGGGTGGAGTACCATCACATCTACCGTGAAGCTAACCAAGCTGTGGACTGGGCAGCAAGGGAAGCTTTTTCCTACCCAGACTCCTCTTTCCTTTTGTAATGCTAATATGCCCCGACCCTTGGTTTTTATTTGTTGGGGTGATTTTTCGGGATGAGCTACCTTCTGTCTTGTGTAGCTCCTCTGGATTTACCCAAAAAAAAAAAAAAAAGAGAATCCCCCTCCCAATGGTGGGGAATGGAAGAACCATAGAGGAGACCATGAAAAACAAACAAAAAAAAGTCATCACCACAGAAACTGATGGCAAACCTCCCAATAACATGAAGCAGCATTATCTTTGAATGTCAAGACGTCATCATTAGACCAATGCACTTAAGGTATTGAGTGAGGAGCTTACTTTGCTTTAACCTACTACTCAAGTGTCACATAGAAGTACCAGAATACATTTTTAAATCTAACTTTCAATAAATCCTATACAAACAATACAGCTTATAAGCTCAACCATACAACATAAACAACACACAAGAATCCTCTCTCTCCCTCCCCCCTTCTTTTTTGAGGGCTTAAGACACACATGAATCAAGATGGCCACAAAACCATCTTATTACATCCATCTTCATGATCAATAAACTCTATACAAACCATAAAGCATATTAACCAAACTCTACAGCTTAAATAACATAGAAGAATCAAGATACCAGACATAGAATACAAATAATGGGCAAGGCATATAGTTCAAAAAAGAAACATTTTTGGTTGGACATCCTTGACCACCAAAGCATAAATTGATGCAAGATGCATCACATTTTCCCTGTTGCAAGAAGACAATTGTTAATGACAAAATTTCATACTTGAATAGTAACACAAAGAAAAAACTCTTGTATACAAGACTGACACATCTATGTCTACTCCAATATATTATTAAAAACCATAACACATTGCTCACAAGTAGGACACAGACCATCATAACACGCACAAAAAGGCACAAGCTGAATCGGTACTCATACAAGCAGCTGAACATCACTCAGCAACCAATTACGAATGAAAGACATGAGGTCAGAAAACAGGCATTCACTCCAGAACATCCATTAGATGTCCATCCAGAAATAGATTTCCTTTGGATATTCTTAAATAGAACACGGAATAATATGTCCAGTCTGTATCAAGCAAAAGTGTCTTGGTATCATGCACTGTTTCTCCAGACAAGCATAACACACGAATTTTGTAGACAAATACTCGAAAGAAAAATATTCATAAAAAAAAAATACTCGAAAGAAAAATGACCATCTACAAGTCATCAGCCTAGCAACTGGTTAGATCACACAAGTCCTATATATTATCTCAAATAACACCACGATTTATATTGCATAAATGGCAATAACATATGCACAGTACCAGCTAGAGAGAGAATCAGATAAAGATGCATTCCAATGCAATGAAATAAAAGGTGCACCCCCCCCCCCCAAAAAAAATGTCAAGAACCATGGGATAAGAACCAAGATCTCCAAATTGAACAAGTTAAAAGTGCATGCATATGATGTTTCTTTTTTTTTTTTGATAAATACATGCATAAGATGTTTCAATCAATATCTTTTAATCAAAAAGACAAATAAAATACTAAATGGGGTAAAGTGCATGCATATGATGTTTCAAAACCACCTGGGCTGTTTTTTAAACAGCCGAGCTTTTCTCCCCTTAAACAAATAAAAGTAAAAGAACACAGGTTGGTTGTATTCAGGACCAAGGTTCAAAGTATCGATACGATACGCCCCGTATCGGGTGTATTGTATCACATTGGCAGGGTTCTGATATACCTATTTAAAGGCGTATTGTATCGCATTGGCAGGGTTCTGATATACCTATTTAAAGATGCACAAGCATAAAATTGTTTGTGGTATGTAAATAACATGAAAATAACTGTAAAAAGTTAGCCTTCTAACAATATCACATAAAAAAGGCACATGAACCCATACACAATCACAACCTAAAATGAAAAGCGAATTTAAATAGTTGGAAGTATAGAGCTCACAAACACAGAACCAAGGTTCAAAGTATCAACACGTATCAGCCGATACGTATCGTTCCAGGACCCCTCTGATATGCCCCTATAGTGGGTGTATCGGAGGTCTGACCGGTTCAGGGGGTGGAGGAGCCCTAAACCAGCCCCCCTGAACCGGTTTCTGAAAAAAAAAATAAGTAAAAAAATTAGTATCGATTCGCCCGATACGCCCCTACCGGCATATCAGGCGTATTGATATTTGAACCTTGCACAGAACCTTCTACAGAACATCACAGTGGTTTCTAATATTGCATATAGACAAGATAAAACCATACCAGGATATAAACTTAAAGCAGGCAACCAATGCTCCCAACAATCACATATAGTTTAGGACAACCAACTAAATGATTATTAAATTCTTCTCAAATGATCAATTATAGAAATAGGAAAAAGAAAGTCCCATGCTCTGCTAGCAGATAACCAGCAGAAGATGATAAAAACAAAAAGCAACCAGAACAATCACAAGTAGAGGTTGTAATCACGTGCCTAGAACATCAATAGAACAAACCTAAATGATTTTATTAAATATTCAATGGTAAATTTCTAAACAACTATAGGAAAAAAAAAGTAAATTTGGAAGCACAAACCCTAGAACAGAATTTACTGGAGAAAGTGGTCCTATTATCATAAACAACAGAATCTCATTTGTAAGTACTTCATACAAAAGCAAATGCATAATCCACCAGTGACAGGCACTTGGGCAACTTTTGAAGGCATTGAAACAGTGAACTAAACTAAATATATAGCAAATGCTACAGATAATGCTATCATAAAAGAGTTCTATAAATGATAATTTTATTTGATGATCAACAGTACAGCATTAATGGATTGAAAGTGAGGAAAGGCACCAAACTGTACAAGGTGTTATTGTACAAACCAAAGTGAGGAAAGACACCCTAGCAAGGGAGTCAGTCATACTATTTGCGGATCTGCAGATCCATCTGAACGATCAGTTCAAACTGGTTCCCAAAGCTCATACCTGTCTAATCAGAAAATGCATTCCATGGCATACCAATACAAAGAGTTATGGCAATCAAGGTTCAAAGTATCGACATGGTATGCCCAATACGGGGCGTTTCATATCGTTTCTCTTGGTGCCTATACACCTATTTACAGGTGTTTTCACGAACTCCTTTTTTTATTAAATAATATATATATAATTATACTTAAAACTGAAATTTGGAAAAGAAAAAACTAAAAAAAAAGGTGTCGGTTAAAGTACTGGTACACCTCTGCCAATACACAGGTGTATCAATACTTTGAACCATGACGACCATAAATACTTGGCAATCTCCTCCAATTGTATAGGCGCTATCAATGTGGTGAAGCAATGACTAGTAGTTTTGACCTCTCTAGTTGATAGGCACCAACTAATCACTAAAAAAATATGTTCTAAATTTAAGATATTCATGCAATCTGATAAATAAGTTAATCTAAACTACAATTATGCAAGAAAAGAATGAGATGGAAGTGGTAGGGTATCACAGCCTTTGTTTTTCAAAGAAAGAAACCTTGGCTATTCAGTGTGCCGTTGGTTTGTGGCAACTCCATACCAACACACCATTGATTGAGAAAAAAACATAAAATATATCCTCCAATACCATCTTTTATTTTATGCCTTTTATATTGTCATCCAATCATTTGCCCTAGGAAATCTTTAATAACTTTTTAAATTCTTTAACCACTTTCTTCATGGGTGCCCTAAGAGAAGGTTTGAGTTTATGAGGTATCCTTCCCCAAACAGAAATGTAGTTTTTCTTCCATGATACAAAACTCTTGGAAAATCTCCCACCATTACATTCCAAAAACATCTTCTCTTGGGTTCCCAACCAAAGGAAGGCTCAATATTTAATAGGCAAAAATTTCTCTTCACAACTTATTCTCATGCACAGTCCTCTAGTTTTCTTTCCATTAGATTGATCTCCACAAAAAACCATAATATACTTTGAAAAAACCATGATAGTATATGGACACAACACACACCATTATCCAACAAATCCATCTCTTCCTCAAACCCATTTTTGACAACACCTATCTCAAAAGAAAAGAAGTAAAAAACTCCACATGGTCACAAGCTCTCCCATATCTAATTGATAAATGAAACCATTTCTTGTTTAAGTCTTCAAATCATCTAGACATCTACCATCTCATTGGCCACCAAAATCCCACATTCACAAAAGCCCCTTATTCTTGAGATACCATCAAATGCAGCATCTTTCTCAATATCATTGATAGAACTTATTTTCATCTAAGAAATAAATACACACTTTTAACCAAAAAAACTAACTTCCTAGTCTATGTGGTTACATGAACCAACCAGACAAAAATATAACTAAATTTTCCATATTGCCCTAGAAACCTGGCAAATGATAAATTTGGTTCAATTTATCAAACAACACATAATTTTGACATTGCACCTTCAAATATATGAGATAGGGAAGGTATCAGTGATGGATGGGGAGTGGCAGTAGCAACCTAAAGATGGTGTCAGCCAACTGCCAAATCATTGTGATGATGTCAGCAGTCGCCAACAGGACATAACAAAAACCTAATTTTCCATATTGCCTTACCAACCTAAAGATGGATGCCATCCCAACAGAGAAATACTTATACAGAAAAAAAAAACTTAAGCAACAAAGGTACCAATAAAAAAAAAAAGCTAAGAAATGAAAATTTTCATAGAAAAAACAAATTTTATATTGCCCTAGCAATAAAAAACTACCTAATCCATGTGGTGATGTAAGTCATTAAGACAGAAAAAACATTTTTTTCATATTGCCCTAGCAACTGACTGAAGCAATAAGTCCAAAGGCAAAACAGAATTAAAACGATAAATACCATTGTCTATTAAATCGAGCAGCAAACTGTTGTGCCACTACTGATAATAATGATCAGAAATAGTTTTACCTAACAGTGCTTCAGCCTTCCACAAATAACAAGAGAATATAAGAAAGGCAAGAAGGATCTTCAAAGAGCTACAACCAAGGAAATCCCAAAAAACTCCTCCCTTTTGGAAGCTCAATACAACCCAACCCTCCACTCTCAACATACTCATACATAAAGGGAATTCTACTTTCATGTTTGAGCCCATACCTGGGTGATGTCCCTATGCATTATAGACAGCTACGTCTTTTTTCTGAAGCAATTAGGAGTTTTTTTTTTTTTTTGTCAACTTCCTAACCCAAATTGGAGTGTATAAATAGAGATCCAAACTCTTAAGTCGAGTCTTTTGACAGAATTATTGTAATTGAATTTTAGATAAGTTAATGTGATGAATGAAGTTAAACTTGGAGAGTTCTGGTTGTAGGCATGTCTCTGTGACCTTTGGAGATGTTTTAAATTCTTCTCACAGTCATATGTTCTAATAACAAGATTTTACCTCCTTCCTAATCTCCTGTTCATTTTTTATGCATGTCAAGTTGTGTACTTGCTTCTTTGCCTATATTCTTCATCCTTAATCACACAAACCATCTTCTTTCTGATGCAGGTGCTTATAAGAAAATTTTAAGCAAGGCTCAAAGAAAGAAATTGAAGAAAAGGGACAAATAGAAGACCGGCAGAAATCATTGTCAACCATAAAAAGTGATCGATTGTGCAGTCAAATTTGGAAACAGACTCCCTGTATGTGCAGGTTTAAAGCTGTATTCATCTGTCCCTCCCCAAACACCGCATTGCCGGGAGTCTTGTGCACTGGGCTGCCCATTGACCAGTCAAATCTTGTTTGATTTGGCTGAAATTTGGTGGCACTAAAGTACACTTAGGGTACTAAAATACTATGGATTTTCAGCTCTATCTGACATGTGGAATTGCTCCAACCAAAGACTTCAAGTTGGTTGATTTTTGGGTTCTGCAACTCATGGTCAAAGTCCTAATCAACAAGCTGATTAGTAGGCATATTATTATGAAGCCAACAGCTATAATGGAGGTTATTCTAGCTTATTTTTCTATTATCTCTTGTTTATTTGCTTGATAATACTTGTGGCTGAAGCCTATCGTTGTGTTACAAAATTTCTGCTTCACTTTCACCCTAGAAAAATCTGAAAGTTGCAAAACCTCTATCAGTTCATAATTGAATAGTTAAGTATTGTGTCATTATTAATGCCTCCATATTCCGAATGAAATCACCATCTCCTTTTTTCAGTTTATCAGTGCACCTAATATTTTCCAAGGTTTTGAAAACCGACCCGGAAACGGAACCGTTCTAGCTACTGGTTTCCAGGTCAGCGGTTCAACCGTCCGGGTTGAACAGTTCGGACGGTTTGCATATTAGAGCAAATGTTTATATGAGATTTGCCCTAATATGCAAACCTCATAAGAGATGTCGGCTGAGAAAGGAGAAAGGAGAACTGTTGTCTGAGAAAGAAAAAAAAGAAAGAAGGAAAGAGAGGAGGGAAGGAGGGAAGAAGGAAGAGG